AGGCCAATGGCATGGTGGAGCGGTTCCATCGCCAGTTGAAAGCGGCGATTAGATGCCACGGAAATAACCGGACAGAAACACTTCCACAGTACTACTTGGGATAAGGGCTGCATGAAAGGAGGATCTGAAGGCGACCTCAGCAGAACTGGTGTATGGGGAGACGTATAAATGAAAGTTTTACCAGATCCACCTGGACCATCAATATAAAAACAAATATTACTATTATTGTTAGTAACTACTGCTGCTAAAATTGTGTCGACAATTTCCTTTTGTTTTACATTTTTTTTTAATTTAAATTTTTTGTAATTTATGCTCATGATTTATAATATATGACAGCAAACGTGATTAATTATCAGTTTCATGGTCGATTAAGTAATTGGCGTTGGTGAAAATGGCCCAAATGGTGATTCTTTATGAGAAGCAGGTAAGTTTGTATATAATTTATATTATATTATAAATCACAAGTATAAATTACAGACGTTTCGACATCATTATTGTGTTTGCTTCAAATGTATAAATCATATTCTAGATATAGTAAGCAACTTTACTTTATTTGATTGGGTCTATTATAACGCGATATTATTCAAGTTTGTCGCGTCAAATACTCGAACAGACTTGATAGAGTGAGTAGGAGCTATGTGATAGGCATGCGATAGCATGCGATATGAGGAAATGCGTTTGGCTTCAAGGCTAACGCGCTGTAGGGCGCTCAGAGGGCGTAAGCGTACAGGCGTAAGTTTCTGAAAATCTATATTATCGACCTTGATTAACTTTGACCGTCACTCCAGCATCCCCTTAAGATATTCTGTTGTAATCGCTTCACATATATCTTCGTTATCGTTAATTTCAAGAGTATCCACACTTGTATAAATTCTTTCTGTTGTTTCATCCAATAATTTAACTACTCTCTCGTTTATTTCATCAACGTCCGCATTTCTTGCAGATAATATAATGTGATTAACTATAATGTCTCTATAATATCTCTTGTGTGTTATTATATCTCCATATGTATCTTTTATCATATCCGAATCAATTTTCGCTATACATCTTTCAGGAATTTGAACATTATCCGAGTAATCATTTAAAGTACCATTTCCTAAATCTAGTAAAAATTGTGCAAATTCTCTTTCTTCTGGTAAAGTTCGTACATTTTCTGTCAATGAAAATATTTTAAATTGTGGCCATAAGGTACTAAATTTTATGGATAAATTTATAACTTCAATACGCGTAGCTCTTTCTTTTATAGGTAATAATTGTCTAAAATCACCATCGAGAAGCACTATTTTCCCACCGAAATATAAATTATTATTTTGCATTATATCACGTAATGTTCGATCCATTATTTCCAATACATAACGTGGAGCCATAGGAGCTTCGTCTGAAATGAAAATATCTACAAGTTTTAAATTATCAGCTTCTTTAGACTGAACTTTAATGTTTGATGTAGAATCAGTAAAAAGAGGTACCGGTAATCCAAAAACTTTATGAATCGTTCTTCCCTTTGGAAGTAATGTCGCAGTAATACCAGTAAATGACATCGTATTGATTATTTTTTCTCTACTTTTAAGTAAATAATACAAGGTCGTATAAATGAAAGTTTTACCAGATCCACCTGGACCATCAATATAAAAACAAGTATTACTATTATTGTTAGTAACTACTGCTGCTAAAATTGTGTCGACAATTTCCTTTTGTTTTACATTTAGCTGTTTATATTATCGCATACCTATCAATGTATCTTCTTGACCTTCTTCTGTATTTTCTATCTCTTGTTCCTCTGTAACTTGTTCTATTTCAAAAAAATTAGTTATATTAGATCCTTCCTTTTCTAGTAAATTAATAATATAGCGATAAGCTTTCTTTATTCCTATTGTAAGTCCATATTGTCTTATATAATCTTCCGACATATCTCTTTTAAACTCATCCCATAATTTTTTCAGATAAACTGGTTGACAATGAATTAAAATTCGAACGAATAAATTACGAAGTCGCCTTGGCATCATCCAAACTTTAGCTTCATTCATTGCGCGATACCATTCGTTATAATCTTCTATGAGTCCTAATGCTAAACACGCAGCGGTAAAGGTTTGATGTATTTCATTATTAAGTGTCCTTAGTTCTTCAAAATTCTTCGCTCCTTTAACATGTAGTAAAAGTATACGTAGATGAAACAATTCCATCTGAGATGGACTAACGGAATACATTCGACCAATACAATTAAAATATCTCTGACATTTTTCCCAACGATTAATGGTTTTACCATTAATTGTTACTTTTTTGAATACATAATGAGATGGAATATCACTATAAAAATATTGTTTCGCTTCGTTATCTCGAGCATTTAATTCAAAATAATCCAATAACATCGTCACTCGTTCTACAGCCGATCTTATTGCATCATTATTAACATTCTCATCTATAATTACACTATGTTCATTTGGCAAATGTACCTGTAAACGAAAAATAGCGTGACTCTTTTCTTGTAAAGGTTTGTTCAAAATACGCCAACATGCTTCCACAGGACCAACATAACGAGCTTCGATAAAATCTCGAATTTCATTATGAATTATCGTTTTATCCACATTTTCTCCAATAATTATAGATGCAGCATCGTGACCTTTATAAATATATTTATACAAATATTTCACAGATCGTATACTCGAAACTACTTCCACATTAATATGACTATTAAATAAAAGTAAAAGCGTTGGATTATACGGAAAAAACGACATATCGATAATTATTGACAACATATCGCCCAGGTCTTTCGTAAAACAATTCATCATTTCGTCGACGATATTGTGGATAACCATCTTCATCCATGATCGTTTCAGATTGAAACTGTTTTGGAAAATGTTTCGAACATTTGTTGTTTATTAAACACCAATCTCCACATGGCCCATGAATCATATGTTTCATTACTACATTATGTAAATTTTAATTTTCATTACGATTAGGAATTTCTGCTGAAATAAATCTACCCACTGCTTCAGGATTTAATATCTTATAATTTTGTTTCAAAGTAACCAACAAATGTATGTGTGGTAATCCTCGTTTTTGAAATTCTATCACATAAACATAGGCGAGAACTTCTCCAAAAAATTTTTGTCTAACGATGATATCAATCAAATAATCTTTTTTTATATTGAATACACGAGCACAGATATCTAGTCTATCTACAGGTTGTTGATTTGGAAGTAAATTTTCTCTAATTTTTCGCGCCAATTTGGATTGCAAGTCATAGTAATAAAAAGTTCTGGTTTTCCATATTTTCTAACAATAGCCATCGAATCTTGATAATGCTGTAACATATTACGCGGTGAACCTACAAACGTCGATGGAAGTATAATCATATTTCCTATATGAGCATCATTATTATTAGCAACATTTGCCAAATAATCAATTAATCCTTGATAACTTTCAGCTCGCAATTGTTTTTGATTCTGTTTGCAATAATTAATTCTATCTTTTTCAATTTTAACATTATTATCTACAAGTTATTGCTGAAATAATCGTCTTCCCAAAATAAAAATATTAAAATTATCACGTATAGCTATTCGATGTTTCACGTAAGCAGCTCTACTAACTCGTTTATTACTATTATTACATTGTAAATTACCATGCCAACCTTGATTACCATATGGATAATACAATGGATCAATCCATGGTTCTACATTTGGATCCATCGTATTGACTTGTTGTATCGTCTTGTTGCTTTTATTATAAATTGTAACATATGTTTCTGGAATTTCTCCATTTGCAGTAGTAGAAAAAACAGCTGCTACTTCATTTACTTTTTGTATATTGTACCGACCACGATCAATACCTTTTTTTGTTAAAAATCCCAATTGTAAATCACGTATATTGTAATTTTCAGTTAATTGTTGCATTTGAATTTCTTCATGAATCATTCGATAGGATTCCCATGTACGATTTTAAAACTGGGCCAACATCGGGCCAATGTCGGCTGCCAATTTCCGACTGTCGGCCC